AGGCACAAATCCTAATTTTGCCCAGACGTTGGCACGTTCCTGATGCCAGGGATTGCAACGTCAAGTTACATCCTCCAGGTAGGGAATCTGGGCCTCCACACTCTACTAACGTAGGAGAATTGCATAAAGTCCGCTGGTGACCTCGAACAAGTAAAATCGACATTACGCGTGTTGCAGATCAAACATTTTCGTTCCCGGTGCTTCCGGATGCTTTGGCTATCGCCTTGGCAAGCTAAACGGGGTCCATCAACACCAGTCCAGACGGCCCGGGGCTCAACAGGAGCTCGATTGCGAAAATCCTTGCCTGCCGGGATGTACCTGCTTGAGCTGGATAGACGACATCGGAGCCAAGAATTGTCGCGCGAGGTTACAACACGTAGCCCGGCGAACTGGAAATGGTCGTGTGCTCAAGCCCGCTTACATACTCCAAAGCACTAGGGATAGTCCTCCTTTCAGCAACTACCATCCGCAGCTCAGATAAACGCTTGCGCAGGTACAGTGAGCTGTGACCAAGCCAAGTCCAACTCGGTCCACAAAATCGACAGTTGCTGCGCTTGAATTGCCATGATCTTATCCTCGACTCTATTCCATATGCATGTGCCAAGGCCGCTTGCCAGCCCCATTATCCAAACTCCCGGCAATGTTGAACCTCAGAACCATTATGACTTGACCCGAAACCCCAAGTGAAAATTAATAGTAGCAAATACACTGATTCAAAAAACCAGAGTTGTGCCGTGAACAAGTCACGCTACCTAATCGGGAACAAGAGGAGTCGTCTTATGCCAATCAACTTCCCTCCATCAGATAGCAAGTGTTGGTAGACATTGACTCGGCGACGCACAAGTCACACAACTACAAGCAGGACCAAAGACAGCAAGACAAAGGATGCACCTATACCACATTTGGATCTTGTGCTCGCACTGTGGAAGATGGCCAGCACCCGCACAAGGCAAACGATGTTTGGCTGGCAGCATTTCCAGACGGCACACAGCAACCACGGCGTCTTGCCTGATATGCGGTCGTAGCAACAGCCCTCTCAAAGGGAGCCCGGGCATGAGTTTGGAAAAAAAGAGTCGCTTCATAACTTGTACATAGTATACTATTCATTATACAGCCGCCGTCGCCGGCAAAATCTACTCGTCCATCTCACCTAGCTCCACCATCCTTCCCAGTATCAGACTCTGAATCATGAGCTCGTCAGTTAGCACACGCATCCCCAGCCCGACCGGCTCGCTGGCCACTTTTCTCTTCCTCTTGCCCGACTCTTGCGCCGCGGCCAATATATCCTCCACCGTTGCCGTCGATGAATCCACATACATCCATTCAAACGGCGACCCGGACAGTTCTGCGTGGCGAATCGCGTCTCCTGCCAGTTGGACCGTCGTGACGCGTGATACTGCGGACGGACTCAAGGCCAGCGCCAGGAAGAGGTACTGCTGCTTAGTCTCTTTCCGCGACTTCTTATGATCCATTACAATGAGGAGCTTTTCCCCATCCAGAAGCTTGTCTCGGGCTTCTATTGTATCGGGCAGAGTGGCATCCACGGCCGAGTACGGCGCTAGGATGCGTGACCGGATAGCGTTGCCCAGGACTTGGGACGCCCCGGCACATAGCAAATATGGCGCCCAGTCTATAATCTCGCCTCTTTTCAGGCACGCAGTTGCCCATTGTGGCGCCAAACAAGGTAGGCCCAGGGCTAGTGCTTGCATGTACTTCGCCTTTCGGGAGTGGGAGTCTGCAATGACGGCTGCAAAGCCATGTTCCAGACCGGCCTTGGTGAGCCGCAATGGCGGTGAGCCGTCTTCCTGAATGGAACTGGCGTGGGCTACTGTCCACTGTTCAAACAATTCCTGGAAACCCTCGTGCAAAATCATGCCACCGGCTTGCGAGATTTTGGTCTCCAACTTCGTCCTCTGTGCCTGACTTCCTGAGAATGACCATGCAAACACCATCCCGTCAAAGAGCCGGCGAGTACGTGATGTTGACGTAAGGCTTGTTCGAAACGATCGCACTGATTTAGAGTGTGTGCTCCTGTCGAGGGCCGTAGCCGATGGTGAATGGCACAGCTCATCTGCGGAATCCGAATCCAACCGCAAGGATCGCCGTGACAGTCTCATAGCCTTGGTCATTGGCTGTGGGGATTCAGATTTCAGTCCGTTCTGGGGATGCCTCCGCAAGGGCCGAACACTATTTTCGGGAGACACGAGATGAACAGACCCGGGGAGGCCCGAACAGTGTGAGTCCTGCGTTCCAGGTGTAGTCTTGGATGATGGTACGGGTGTGCCTGATAGGTTAGTCAGACTGGAAGATGTAAGGGCGTGACGGTCGACATTGATCGATCTGCGTGGTGTCCGGGTTCTTTGTTCGGTTCGGCGAGATCTTGTGCCCATGGGTACCGGTGGCTCTGAATATGAACTTGGTAGAGCATCGTTCTTGTTCTTGGCTGTGTCTTCTGACCCTTCCACTCTGTCCACGGGCTCTTTGGCAGGTTCGATTGGCTCTTGCTCCGTCTCTTCTGCAGACGACACTACAGCTAATCGTGTTCGAATGCCACGCCCGCGTTTGCCATACGTCCGCTGTGATTTCCGTCGAATGGGTGGCATCGCAGAGCTATCCACGGCATCCTGGCCCTGTTCAGTCCCACTTCCTCTCAGCATAGGCAACTCCGGTTCAGAAGCTGATGGCGCAGTGCCCCGTTGGTAGATAGCTGGTGAGGAGCGTACAGGACTAGTCGCCGGAATCATTTCCTCATCTAAAAGTTCAGGGGCAGGTTGGGCATCTGCGAGTTCCTTTTGAGCATCCATTGTCTCAACTGCTACACCAGGCGTAGCTTTGGTCGACTCCTCGGACGGCTGTTCCGCAGATTGTGTAATGGCTTTCTGTGAATCTTTCACGAGGGGCTGGTCTTGACCCTCGTTCTTCGCACCTTGAGCATCCGTATCCTCCGTGCCCAGCTTTCGGCGCTTTTTCCCAGGCTGTTCATCAGACAATCTCCTTTGTGTCCGCATGAAGCTAACCTTATCCATTTCCGCAGCGGCTTGTGCTCTCTTTCTTTCCACGCGTTTCTTCCGATCCAGCTTTTGAAATGCGTCATCAGAGTCACTGTCTGATGCTGGGCGGGAATCCCGGGCACCCCTACTGCCCTTCCGCTCTTGTGATTCCTTCATGGGCTCATAATGCGCCATGGGCTGATGACTAGCGGATGGCCGTGGTGTTTTCAATGTGGGTGACTCGGGAATCAGTTCATCCTTTTGGGATCTCAATGGCACGGGCGTTTCCTCCACGACTATACTCAGGGTGTTATTCTTTAGTACAGTCGCAGGCACCTCGTGTAGCCTCGTGGGGCTAGACGTTCGAATATCCGTAGGTGACGAAACGTTGGCTCGATTTTTCAACGGTGATGTCTCCATGACATTTGGAGATATGGAGTTAAGGAAGATGTTTGGTGAAGGTCGGGAAGAAGTTGGGCTTGCTATCTTGGCTGCAGACGACAGCATCTGTGTCTGGCCAAATAGTTGAGTGCCACCAAATGGCACAGCGTCATTATTTTTGGTTGCAAATGGGTTCTTGGGAAGCGCGGGTGTCTCTGGGGGAAGATCTGGTGGCTTATAGGGCGTCGACGCGTGGTTTGCCTGCAACTGGGACGTATTGTCGGGTCCTCTCCATTCGCCGCGTGTGTTTTCAAACCCTCCGTCCTCGGAGACTTGTGATGACGGCCTCGCGAATTCACCGAGGTTTCCAAAGTCAACGGCGCCCGTGTCATCAGGATTCAGCATCCGTGGTTCATCGTTGGTAGTGATTTGCGTCCGGTCATACGTCGGGCTCGATGGTAGCGGCTCACAGAACTCGGCGTAGTCCCGGTCTGCATTGACCTGGGTCGGCGTTTGTTGCGAAACATCCATCTTTGTCGTGCCGTGGGCACGCTCAGTCACCGTGGCGGGTTTCTTGTCGAGATCCAATGACGCTCGAGGCTTGTCAAATTGTATGGCTATACTGTCAGAGGTGCTATTGCGAACTACATCTTCTGCAACAGCTGTGTCGGGTATGTCGTCGAGAACTCGCGTCCCGTCGACGCCGGGCTCGGTCGTGGCGGCATTCCCACACGCGTTATTGGCGGCCTTGTGTGTTGTTGCTTTCTTTTCCTTGGCCGGGGTTGTCAGTGCATCCTTGTTTGGGTGCCTGCATCGGCCGGTGGCGACTGGGAGCAACGTACCTGGGGCGCACGCGAAGGAACAAGGCTAGGTCTCTACATTGCGTCAGTTGATTGGCCTTGATAAAATTGCATCGTAGAGGTTCAATATGGACGTGCCTGGGCTCCGTTTCTCGGCGGTGAGCTGCTCAGCTTCGGTACAGAATTGTTAGGAATCGAGGCTCAAATTCACTGCGACTGGTACGTACCGTGCCGACTCCGAATTCTGCCTTCATGGCATCGAGAATGGCCTGGCTGTCTTGCGATTCATTTCTGCCCTCCAACGCGGCCATTTCAGCCCGCGCTGCAGACGGGAATGGCGTCATCGCGCCGATTCGGAGCGCATTCTTGACAAATTCAAAGCAAGGCACGAAGTAGTAACTCGACTCAGGCTTCTCACACAGTCATGTCGCGCCGTTACGCGCTGTCACGTGAGCTGCAAGACTAGACTGAAAATTTGGCGAACGAGGAGGCAAGTGCCTACCACCAGACGTACTAACGCAATAGGGGCACTTCTCACTCTGGCATCTACAATACAATCCATTGATAATTGAAGCCCACAAATACTCGCATTATACATGGGGAGACACTTCTGGCACAATCGTGGAATCGCATCTTGTTGAATGGGACTAAAGTTCATAAGTAGATGGACTTACATCAGCCTTCAGTGATATGCGTCGATGCGACATGAGCTCCGCCATTCATATCCGCCAATAATGACGCATCTGAAAATCCAAACTTGAGGGTATGGTGTTATCAAAGAAGACAAAAGAAAAAGTGATGGTTTTGGTGGTATAGGGGGCAAGACTAATTATCTCCGTTCCCAATTCTCCTCATCTCCCCAATCATCCCCAGAATAGTCCGCTGCTGGTTTTTGAGCCCATTTGTTATTGGCGACCGGCTGCACCATCAGATGTGACTGCATCCTGGCATTTTCTGGATAATTGCCGTGCGATGGGGCAAATAGCGGTGGTGGAATCATGTTGCCTTCTGTGGAGTGTTGAGTCTGGTAGCCTACTGGTGTATGCACTTGCTGAGATGGCACACCTTGCTGCGGTATACTAGCTTGGCTTACAGTAGAGGGTGACCTAGAATGACCCGTGTGTGGCTGATTTGGATTCGACGATACTTGGGTTGTCATTCCCACTCGGCCTTGGTGTTGAGTTCGAGGTTGCGATGATGTAAAGCCTTGCAAGGGAGGATTCACTGCCACTTGGAGCGGATAAGCCTGGCCAAAGTAACCTCGTCCTGCAGGCATTTGTTTAGGTAGTGCCTGACCGGGTAGCTGTTGACCCGGATGCATCTGAATAGGTGGCATTTGCCCGGGACCTTGGCCTTGGAGCACTTGTCCAGGACGCATTTGCCCCTGGGTGGGTTGTCCTGGCATCATCTGTCCCGGTGCTAACTGACCAGTGGCATCAGAATGTATAGCCGGGACTTGCCCGTGAGATTCATGTTGACTATCTTGACTTTTCTTGTCAGATCCCATTGTAGATATGGATGCCGAATCAGACACACTCGGGGATTGTCCGTGGCCAAAGGGCCTCTGCTGCCCAGGCTGCTGCCAGAAATGATTCGGGCCATATGGACCGCCTGGCCATGGCTGAGGCCCTGACTGGGGTGACATCATTTGCTGCGGTGCAGACTTAGGTTTGGAATGTCCGCCTTTGAACCACTTCGACCACTTCCTCTCCTTCTCCTGACTTCCCTGTGTAGGGAAATTATAATTCACTGGTGGATTCCATTGGCCCTGAGGATTGAGATTAGACGCCCTTTGCCCAGGTGTAATTTGAGTTTGCATTGTAATCTGCATATGAACTGGTGGGACCAGATCTTGTGGGTTCTGAATAGGAGGCAGCTGGCCGGATGGAGGTTGACCTAATGGGGTTGAAGCCATTGGTAACTGCCCTATTGTCTGTACTGATCTTTGAACTTGAGTTGGTGCCGACGGCTGCGGATGATGTAATGTAGATCTATGGAAACTTGCCGATGTACCTGGTATTGAGTGCTGAAGACTAGAAGCCATGGAGCTCGGTCGCTTGATTTGCTGTGTCTGGTCGATTCTGGGACCTGGTTCGCTCTCATCACGCTCCTCGATCCGACCAAGTATATGTCCTGACCCTGGCGTAAGGACAGTTTGTTGATCATTCGGGGGTTGGCCAGACCGACCTGCAAGAGGTTTGACTTGATATCCGACAGGATGCTCGGTATCTTGTGCTGACTCTTGGGGTAGTCGTATTTCTTGCTCTTTCTGTCCTGCTGGCTGACTGAGATACTTGGCCTGCTGTTGTACAGCCCGCTGCGCGAATTGGGACTGCGTTTGGGGTTTGTATATTGTGTTTTCCTGCTGCTGCTTGGCCACATCCAGTGTTGGTGGGCTAACTTGAGACGCCCGCGTGTCGGATGTGTTCTGAACAGGGAAGAAGGAGCCTTCAGCATGCTCTCGAATTTTCGCAGGCACGGGAGGACTTTCATTCTGTTGGCCCAATGCGATAGATTGAGTCCACCCATTTTGTGCAAGTGGCCCAGTCGTATCAGTTAGTGGTGAAGGAGTGTAATTCGGGTCGTTTATGGTCGTGTTTGATGAACCACGTCGGGCTGCATCCGTGGGCAGCGGTGATCCCAAAGCCGAGACTTGGCTGTCTTCACGAGGCCGAGCTGGGGATACCTCACTAGAAGTAAACATAGACGCTCGTCGCATGCTAGGATAAGTCGGTTGACTTGAGTCTGGTTGACTGGGGTCTGGAGAGAACGCATTTTTGGGAGGTTTGGGGGGAGAGTTGTGTTGAATAGTTTCAATTACACTTTGAGGTCCCGGAGGCTGCCGTGATGTGTCGTTCTGCATTTGGCTTGGCTGCCCAGCTGCCGCATTTTGAGGATCTTGCAGGCGCGATGTTGTAGATGATTCTTGCTGAATAGGAGGAGGATGGCCCCCAGCACGTTGCGCGATACCTAGAGGGGCCAAGAGACTTTGCAGTTGACTGGGCTGCCCAGCTTCTGCATTCTGGATCTGCTGAAGGGGTTGAACTTGGAAGAGTGAGGGTGGAGGTTTCTTTTGTGGTTCCTGCTGGGTCGGCAGAGATTGTGTTTCAACGGCCGTGTCGATGCTGGCGGCAGTTTGAAGGTTCTGCGATAGAGGAGGCTGTTCGCCTGCTACATTTTGTCCTAGCTCTGTCGGCGTGAGCTGGGACTGTGATATTGAGGGCTTGTGTTGCAGCTGCGGCTGCGGTTGAGGCTGAGGTTGCCCTGCGTCTTCATCGCGAACTTTTTGTGCTGGTTGAACCTGTAATTGGCTATCAACTGACTTGGGCTGAACAACTGCTGGAACATTCTGAGTTCGATCCAACTGTTCTGTTACGAGATCCTTGATTTGCCGAACAGGTTGAACCGACACTAATTGTTGTGGCGGAACAATAGTAGTAGTGTAGGTAGTGTTGGTAGAATCAGCTTGAATAGCTCCTACGACAGTTTGAGGTCGCGGAGGTTGGCTGGCGATGGCCTCCTGCATGCGTTGTAGTGGTGAAGGCTGGTCTTGAAGTTCTGGCGGCCGACACCCTGATAATGACGGTTGGGAGGATTGATTTCTACGAGGAATAAGACCGAGACCAAAACCAGCAGCTGAATATTGAGACCCATATGGAACATGATTTATAATAGGCATTACACTGGCTGGCCTTGCTGGCTGGTCCGCATGTTCTGTAGCCCACAGAGGATGCTGAAATGGAGGATGTTGAGTTGGAATAGTAGTCTGGTTATTGTTCACTTGATACACCCGGCCCCTGAGCGGCAGATGGTCTTGTGAGATCGCTGTATGTTGGTTCGGTTGCCGGACAGAACTATTAATTACCTGTCCTGGATGGCTTGATGACCTTCCTCGTGCTGGACGCAGGACAGATGGGAATTTAGAAATTCCTTCCGACCTTCGAGGCTCGGGGTTTGGTTGAGCGGGAGGAGTTGCAAGAGCGGCTGGCGTTGGAACTTGTTTCTGAGGAAGAGAATCCTGCACCGACTTTCTATTCCTTGCGGGTTTCAGTACTGATGGGGCATGAGACAGGGACAGGTCGGCATTATCAGTTTTATTTTCATCAGTCGTTGGCTTCGTGAATTGGGTTGATAGAGGCTCGCCTGACGCATTTGGCACCGGATGCTGCGCTGGTGACAGCACTCGAGGAACAGAATTGGAGTCTATGCTGGCTGAGTTTCTTTTCATGTTCATCATTAAAGATGCTTCACGCTGTAGTCCAATACTATGTCTTTTCTCGATTGGCAAGTGTGCTGTTGTAGCCGTCTGGCCTGGCATATATGCTTGATAATCCGGTTGAGATTGCTGTGCGATAGGTGTACCTGGCGTACTTCCTGGCTGTTTTCTTGCAATCTTGAACGTCTTCAGTTTGGTGGGCATTGAAGACTCAACCTGTTCATGCTCATTTGAATGAGGACCATACTGTCCAGGACCTTGTCTGAGGACTTGGTTTGCATACGACGCCCCAGCATTTTGGGTCAGAGGAGCGGTTGGCTGTTCGCTGGGCACACCTCGTTGACCATGTGTTTGAACATGGTCTGATGGCACTTGCTGTTCAGTAGATGTAGTGCCATCCTCCCTTGTAATACTCTCACCACTGGTAGACTGATTCCCCTCTGGCCCCTTTGGCGTGTCGACAACGGGGGCCTCCTTTCCCGCGACCGGGATGTTCTTGGCTGGTAATTCGGCCATTGCCGTTGCTGAAACCGCTGCGGCAGCAGTTTCGACCGGCGCAAGCACCGTATTGTCCGCAATCTCTACGGGTTCGGGGTACAGCTCAATATGTGCCGCAGCCGTGTGCTCTGTGGGCATCTCGGCAACAAACCCCACGGGATCGAACCGATGCATTGTGTCTCCCATCATTTCCACGGGCATCTCTCGGCTATCGATCATGTGAATGACTGAAGAGTCAGACGCCTCTGCAACAACGGCAGTGGATTCGATTTCAACAGGTGGTTGGGAGGGGATAGGCTCGCTCTGAACAATGTGAGCACTTTGCGTCACTGGTGCGCTTTCAACAGCAGGGCCTTGCCTGATGCTTGCATCCACCGGCCCTGGTGATGATGTTGATGGTTCACTCTTTGCCATCATAGGCGTTGTCTTGCTGCTTCCTAGAGGACTAACACCTTTAACAGATGCTGCTGCCGTCGTCCCGGTAGTTTCGCTGCCTTGAAACCGTTCGCCAATAGTTCCAACAACAGACCTTTTGGCTGCCTCTTCCTCTTCCTCCGCCAAAGGGCTCACGTCGGTGTAGGTCCCGGGCCCAAGAAACATGAAGTTCTCTGGCTGGAACACACCATCACCTTCTGCATCATCGTCTCCCTCCCATATCGCACTGACGGGTTTAGCCGTCGCGGACATGGCGTATTTATTGTCGCTGCCATTGCCTGCGCCCGTCATATGTGCTCGTTTCGAGCGAGCGTCGGCACCGCTACCTGCCGAACTCGTCTGCCTCTTGACCTGCTGTTGCGATTCAAGTCGTTCTTCGGGTGCAAGGTCTGGCGCTGGCACGCCAGCCTCAACAAAGTCCGGAAACTCATCGCCTTCGGAGGGGAAGTGGTATTGGATCTGTCCTGTAGGCTTGTATTTGTAGAACCAGCGTTGGCCGTCGTAGTCCCACTCCCAACCAAGAGGCAGACCGGCCATTGTGGGCTCGTCGTCTCGTGTCGCGGCGCCTGTCGAACCACGATTGTGTTTTTCGATCTCGTCGTCCAGCTCCCATCAGGTCGATACCTAGGTAGTCATTCAGATTCCGCCACCCAAGTCGCTTCTGCCGCTTCTCCCGTGCCCGCAATGTCCAGCTACGCAGATGAAGCAAAAGCGCCTGGCGAAAAGCAAGACGCGAAACAAAACAGCAAGCAAAGCATAGCAGCCGAATGCCACGGCTGCAGCACCTCACAACAGATGCGTGTCGGGAAACCCGCTCGTTGCACAGGTCGGGCAGAGGTCAAGGGGAGTCGGGACACCACTCGTCATCCTCATCTGCTCGATACATGGGCGGCGCCACAATCTGCGGCTGAATTGCACTTTCCTCCTCCAAATTGCAGCTTCTTCCCTCTGCCCCGAACGGCCCGTCGAGCGGGGAGGCGCACTAGTTGACCTCACATTGGAATATCAGCTCCTTCTGCCAGCTTGTCAATGATCCGTCTCCGTCCGTAAGCTACATATGCACGTACCAGGGAGGTGAGGTCTATTTTTGGCATCATTTGACATGCACTGCATGTATGATTCCATGTGTAATCTTCCATAAGGTCACCGCTAGACGGATGTTGACCGACATCACCAACCACTCCCACGCTGATCTCCTTGAATTAGCCATGAGGCGCCAATCGTGGCCTCTCTGAAAGTCGATCAAGCAGCTTCTCCGGCTCTGATGTTCCGCGCCAGTGGTAATGTTGTACCAACAGGCCAGGTATCAGTGTCACCCTTTATGGTTCTGTTCTTCCAAGTCCTGGGCGTCTTTGTTGGAGGTTCATAGTCATCGCTCTATTTCTATTGATCTAAATAATATATCCATCCATATGGTGTCGTGTAAAGTAATACATGTACGCTGGCGCTTGCCCCATTGCTTTCCCAAAGTACTGATCGGCAATCATCTGCACTGGCATGGCAAGATAAAAAAAAATGGAGGTGGGGAGGAGGATGGTTGTAGCCGGCCTCCAGAACAACCTCGAAAGAAAACGTTCATAATTATTCTTCTTTTCAAACTATATCGCTTTGCTGCGGTTGATGCTGTTGACTCTTAGTCCCGCTTCGGTGACGTCCGAAGAATCGTGACCTTTGTTGGGAATTCACTGAGTGTATCGGTGACAGTGCAGCACCAGTAGTAGATGCCCTAGACTCCTTCTCAGCTTCTGCTTGTTCGGCAATGTGCTTTTCTCGGATAGACTCCATTCGTCGCGCTTGGGATTGCTCGCGCCGATTCTCGAAAACATCTTGGAAGTCAACAATGGCTTCTTCACTCGTGGTGGAAATATGCGTGCTTCTAACACTGTTATGACGTGGCATCGCTCCTCGTGACGGGGCTGGTGCTGGCGATGCCACATTGCTCGCAGACATGTCGTGCTGCTGCTCTTTGCCGTTGCTGTACGGCGGCGGGTGTGAGCCAGCATAGTACATGGGGTACTCGCGGCTGCCACCAGGGTCGACACGAAGAGGACCTTGGATACCAATTTGCTCCAGTTGATACACCAGTTCGGTAACAAACTTGTTGTGGCGGTTGAGGCGAAGAAGCTCATTTTGGAAGTTGGACTTGTGAATGAATACCATGTTCATGTTTGCAGAGCGAATCTGATCCACGCCAGTCATTTCAGTAATAATAGTCGGCTGGTAATCACGCTTGTTGGCCAAACAGAAATCGAGCATGCGGGCTTTGAGCTCATCAATCATCCACGCAGGAGTGCCAAACTTGAACTGCAACGGAAGAACATCGGAAAGACCGTTGGATCGTCTCTGGTTGAGAATGAATAAAGTGTTGAGCACAGAATTGGGAGCCTGAACAATGTGCCCCTGCATTTTTTTGAACTCTGTATAGAGAAGGGATATCTCCGTAACGTAGTAATCGTCGCCGGTCATATTGGCGCCTGTGGAGCCATAGATGGTGACGCGATCACCAACATCGAAGGGATGTTTAACGAAGACGAAGATGATTGACTGAAGAAACTCTTGAGCGGTAGCCTGGAGAACCCAAGCCAAACCCAAAATAGATGTACTGGCTGAGGCCAAGCCGGCCGCGGTAGAACTGGAGAAGATGGATACAAAAACAATGACGGTGATGACAACAATGATGAAAAGGAAAACCTTGTCGAGCTTCTGGATGACCGAGTCAAGATCCTTGAGCGAGGCAGCGATGGCCTTCTTTTCGAGACGGATCTCATTACACACAGCTTCGAACTCATCCATGGAGATGTCGCCATTGAGATCTTTATCAAATACGCCGAACGCTGCGTCAATCTCCTCCTGGGTAGCAAATACTTGTTTCAAATCTTCTGGATATACAGTATCCCGATCCTCACGAACCACGCTACGGTAGATGAGGCGGGCCAGCGTGTGTGCAGAAGCCGTGGTTCGCAGCAACTCAGAAACCACTTTCCGAGGGTGATTTGTGTTGCCTTTTCTGCCAATGAGGTCGTTTCCAACTCGCCCAGCAACATATCCAACCTTTCCAAGTACCTGACGGGCACCTTCGTGGAAGTTGGCCATTGGGGTTTGCGTGCCACTAGCATTGCTATTTCCGTCACGGCCTTGCCAAAACTTGTCAGTGTCCTCCAGCTTTGCCTTGGCAAATTCAAATAACTGCACAAGCTGCCGGATGTCACCCTTGTTGTTCTCAATTCGAGTGGAGTAGGTGCGTTGGTGAAACGAAGTAGCAATCCACTGTATCAGAATCTTTTCGACGAAATTGAGAGTGAAGAGGACGAATAGCGAGATGATGACTTTGTTCACAATGTCCACCCAGTCGTTACCAGAGCTGTCCTTGTCAGGAGTACCGCGTCGATGTCCATTATTGGTAGGCTTGAATGAGATCAAAATAGCGAGGAACCATAGAAACAGGGCCGTATGAAGTTCCAATTGCGCACCGATATCGCGCCATTTCTTGGTAGTGGTCGACCCCAGAATGGTTGCAACTCCTTGGAATATGTGTGGTAGCAAACTGGTCAGCATTCGTGACACCCACAACGAGGCCCAGACAATCTCAAGCCAAATTCCAAACCACATCAGTTCGACACCTCCGTCACCACCAACCAGATTACTGCCGTCGTTATACCTGAAAGCGCCGAGAAGAACAGGGATCAGAAGCAGAGCGGCTCCGGGAAACAAGTAGACCAAATATCGGACGAACCGAGGAAACTTTTTGAGAAACAGCCAGAATTTGTACAGAGCGGCATCCTCATTCCTCTTCCTGACATGCTCCTCCTTGGTGACTGTTGGGTTGAACGCATCTTCGGGCTCAACGTTATGGGCTCTGTTCTTGGATGCAGTTTTCGTGGCTTCGTGCTCCTGGTTCGAAATGAGTCGCTCTGCTCGTAGGAGTTCCAGGTCATCAATGTGACGACTGGCGTCGGCGCGTTGAACGGATGGTGACAGGGCCACAGTCTCAATTCCCGTAGACTCTTGGTGCTGCAGAGAGTTTAGGGTGTCTAGAGATGGCAGCGGGGGCTTCTCGTGCATAGAGTCACGGTCATTTCGGTTGGTATGTTGCAATTCAATGTCGGGGAAGGGCTCTGTGCCTTGTTGATACATGTCATGATCATGCGGTTGCGCCGAGCTAGCCATGATGGCCCGCCTGATGGACTATACTCCGTCCCAAGGCTCTGAAATCGAAATCGACGCAAATTAGGACAGGAGGGATGTGTAACGGCGTCTGTGTGACTTGGGCCAGTCCGTCTTGTTGACCCAACTGGTTTGCCAAAATGACTGCAAATACGACAGAGATGCCCAATGATCTTATAACCTCGCAATCAGTGCTTGCTTTGAGAATTGGACTGCGATATGTGGAGCGAGTGACGAAATAGCAAACGCAAAAGTGGGTATTGAGCTACACTGAATGGAACCTCTTGTGTGACAGTGTGATGATGTCGTGGCGTTTGGGCCAAGGAAGCCAGAGGGTAGGTATTGCAGTAAGAAGAAGGCAAGATTGAAGAGAACGAATATGGCAAAAGACACGCATATAATACGAATAAACGAAACGCGCCTGGAGGCGAAGCAGATAAAATAGGAAAGGAAGAGTGTTGGGAATAATAGAATAAGAAAATTACTCAACCTTGAATTGGGGGGAAGGAGAACAAAGATAAGTGGATTGGAGAAATGGTGGTGGTGTGGATTGTGTCTAGTCGAGTCAAGTTCGATTTGGCTAGCCTCCGGAAAGCCGTTTCGAGGGAAAAGGGCCAGGGGAAGAAAAGATTAGGGAAGGAGCATCCAGCGGCAGTTACCTGTTACCGCAAGTGTGGCACCAAACCTTATTGGGACAGTACCTGAATACTACCTTGGTTCTGAACTTGTCGAATGAGAGGCAAACATCTGCCCCCAACTCTTCCGATTTCTCAGTGTTATAAACTCGCAATCGAGCCCCAATCCTTCTTCAATGTTCAAACAGTCAAGTTCTTTGTCCGCTCAAGGCCAAGGCACGATCCCCCATGGGCCGAGGCCACGATGACAAGGTCGTGCGGGTCGATTCAGACCTCGCTCCACAAAAGACAGACTGCAAGTACAAACGATTTTTCTGGCGCACGGAGAATTTACGTTGCACCACACACCACACACCGGAGCGTGGAGATCAATGGCCTCTGACTTGATCTCATCTATGAGCTCAAGTGTCTTGGCAGGCCTGCAAGCCTGAGTTTTTGGCCAACGAGATGGCCGTCGATAACAAGCTCAGTGGAACCTGGTTACCAACCCCGAAAACTACCCACCAGACGTCGTGCCACAAACACAATCCATCCGTCATGTTGAGAGCCACGCCATCCAGCAACATGGGGCGAAAAAAAAAATTCGGCTGCAACATCTGCAAGGGCCAACGCCGGAGCCCGTCAAGCAATTAGTTAGTTAGTTATCCCATGCCGGCATGACCGTGCACCGAATCTGACAAGCAAATTTTCTTTGTTAGAGCCCTTCAGAGGGAAGACCTTGCGTTAGCACTTGCAGAC